ACTTTGGACAAATGAAATCAACTTCATTTATTAATTGAAAGTTGTTCAGGCGGGTTGATTCTACTTGAATATTAATTTTTATAAGATTTCATTTTTTTTGTAGCTGTATTAACTTTAAAACACTTATTACAACTTACATCATTATTTTAAATCATAAGAATTAATTTATATTATTGGCTAATTATAATCACATTGATACTAAGGATTTTTTTTCATTTTTATATTTGATTTAATAATTTAATAAAATATTATTAAAATCAAATTCATATAAATGCAACTAATATTAATAATTGTAATTTAAGTAGTAAATTCATTAACCAAATCATGTAAATTCTATGCTTAAAGTATGTAATTTCTGTGATCAAATCAATATAAATTCAGCATAAATTATGGTCAAATCATGCAAATGATGCATTTTGTAATATGGAATTGTGCATTTTCTGTATTCCTATATAGATTAGAAATATTATTTTTAAGAAAAAATTGTATAAAACCTTATCAAAAACATGATTTTTTATAGGATCTAATTATAATAAATTTTATTATTCAGTAATATTTTAGTGATTTTACATACAATTCAATTTATTTATATCAAAGAATTTTTTTAATTATAAATGTTATATTTGGGGGATGAAGTCCCCGGCAAATCGCATATTCTAGTTGGCAATTTTTATGATCCCTGATAAATTGGTCACACCTTTATGATAATAGCAATAATTAGAAATCAATTTTGCTGAAAATCTGTATTTTAAAAGCCCTCGTAATTATTTATGGTGCAGATTTTTGAACCTTATGTAGTTACGTCATTTTTTTCAATGTCCCTTCAGTAGCGTCAACATTATCATATGACATCATAAATGACTTTTGCCATATGGATTTTGACTTTTAGACTTCACATAAACTTTTGACGTAATTACTTTTAAATTTTTTTAGGCTTTATATAATAAACTTTTAGTGTAACTACTTTTAAACTTAATATACTTAATATAAATAATATAAATTTTATTTTTTATTTGAAAACTGCTTTTAAGTTTCAAAATTTATCATATCGCCATATTCTACTATTATAATTTCAGAGCTCTACTCTATAAAAAATAAGAAAAGGTTAGCAATAGTTGAAGGAGCAAAAAAAATTCTTTAAATGAAATGAAATACAAACCTTAACATTGAAATGGACTTGAATCATTTGTTCATCAATCCATATCTGTAAAAAAGACTGTTAGTAATGGCCAAAAAGAACAAGAAACCCTCGAATAAACAAATGAAACGAAATACTTAAATGGGACTTCTAAAGATTAGTGTCCCTAGCACACCTGGCTATCGGCTAATCTAAAAGAGGAAATAAAAAACTAGAAGTGGAAAGAGATAAGGTTATATGGGAGAAAAAAAAACCTACTTCACTGTTAGCGTGAATAATAAAGTTCAAGAGGTAAAAGGAAGGAAGAAATCAATGGGATGAAAAATTTATCTATCAGTCCATTCCTGTAAAATGAAGGAGAGAAAAAAATAAACTTTAATAATTGACATAAAGAAAACGTTCAAATAAAATAAAATAAAAACAAAACTCTACCCTTAATGTTTTTTAAAGTTTCAAACCATTCACCTGTTGGTCCATTCCTATAAATAAATAGTTAATAATAGGCCAAGGAAACAAAAAGTCAAACCAAAAATGAACAAAATAAACCATCAACTTTAATGTCTTCTAAAGCCTCAAACCGTTCGTCTGCCAGACTGTAAAAAATAAGAAATGATTAATAATGGGTTAAAATAGTAAAAAAGAAAAAAAATATTTATAAAAGAACTCCTATGAGAAGATCTGAATGAACTGAACCCAATTTCCAGTAAAAAAAGAAAAAGAAAGTCCATTTCCCTGTCCCTATTGAAAAAAAGAAGAAAAAACTGTCAGTGAAACCTTTACATAGTTACTTTTAAATATTCCATTAATAACATTTCACACACATATATATTATTTAATCGGATATCTGAGATCAATCCAACATAATCCGATTATTCGTCACAGATAATCAGATGACTAAACGATAGTATTTCGATCCAGATGAAAACCACCATCTGGATAAAATAATCATTTATTTGGATAAAAACTTAATTTTGTAAAAATTGGGATTAACCCTGAGTATTAAGAAATTTCAGCACTACGATTATATTCGTAGTACTAAGAGGTTATAAATCATAAAATACTGATCACTAGTTCATGAAATATTTCAAGTTATTCGAAATCTGCAATCCGCGGTATTCACCTGAATATTCACGGTTTATCTGGGCTGACCCGGGTCAAACCGCATATGGATCAAAACACTACTAAACAGATTTAGATTCAGATAACAGATGACGGATTTAATCCATTCTGAATATTCTAATGAGATTTGATACTAACAGGTTCGTTATAACCAGTGGCGACTAAATATATTAAACTATTTGCAAATTTGTTGAGTAAATTCACTTTAAAGTTTTCCAAATAATTTTGCTCACCGCTTGTATATATTAACATATTATCAAACATTAACTTTAATCCGATTTCATTTGTTCGTCAGTTATATAAGACAAGCGATGCAAATAAAGTAGCATCATAACTTTAGTAAATACCTTGCTGAGAATTTTTTGTTAGCACTTCCGTGATATTAATTAGGTCTTCGGAAATCTGTACGAAAAAATATTAGTTTGCAAGCTTCGAAATTGTTTTCTTGTAAGTACTACGAAAAAGTATATTTCATTTATTCTCAAATCAGTATTATTCATCTAGTGATGTAAGTCCATGTACAGTATGTTATCTTAAGCAATAGCGCCATTCTTCATCTTCAAAATTAATTTAATAAAAAAAAAAAGATAATCTCTTGAAAAAAAATCATCCTACCTGAATTGTTGCCCGAACTTCAATAATTTTTTCGTCAACACTGCGATAGGCCAGTTTCTTTTGAGTTCATAACGTTATATTGTTACTTTCTATATCAGAATTTTTATACAGCTCAGAGAAAATAATAGTATGTAAGGAAAAAGAGCGTTACTGCGCTTGATTAATTTGTAGTAAAAAATGCCACATTAATTAGTCAAATACAGTGTAATGCCCAACCCTGTGGTGTGGGTCATCACCACGTTGAGTCGTTAACAAAATAATGTTTTAGTTAATAATAAAATATGTTAATTATATAAAATAACTATATTAACTTTAAATCTAAGAATCAAAAGAGATTCTTAATCTTCTAAAATCGAAATTTATCTACTATTTATACAAAACAATGAATCTATACATCTTCTAAATATATCATTTACGTCCTTTTCTTAATTTAGATTTTCCATTTTTAAATCTCTCATCTCATCTCTAGAATAAAGATTTTCTTCTATCGAGTTTCTTCTTTTTCCAATTGAGGTTTTCTTTATTCGTAATTTTATCATCTTCTTATTTGTAAATATCTCATACTTTAATATGTTTATACTTTAATAACATTTCCTCTTGAATAATTTCTATCAAATTAAATTAAACTGCTTCATATATGTTCTATCAATCCTTAATCTAATTAAGGATACACTTTTTCATCATAAGAAAAAGGCAAAAAGAATCGAATATAATAATAAGTGTAAAAGGGATTATTAATCTTATCTTTCGGACACTCGGATAAATGCTTATTATATAGATATTTTACAGTGTTATCGTTCTATAATTCCATTATCAAAGTATTCTCTAAGCTAAGTCTGGGATTAAACCTCAGATCAAATCCCGGATTTATCTGGGGTAAAAATGGATTAATCCATATTTCATCCCTATTTTATCCCGGATCTGATTTCTATTATATCCTGGATTTGATTTATCCTGGTGATATAAATTTAACATTCTGAAATTAAATTTGGGATGAAATATAGATCAAATCTGGGATAAAATATGGATTAATCTAGGATTTGATAATTGGGTGTTAATTTTTGGTGAAATTTAAGGGATGAAATATGGATCAGATCCGATGCCCTATACAAACATTTTTCTAGTTTTCATTCTGAAGAAGAGTAGATACGTGATCAATTTTTATACGTTACAATTATTGCATCTTAGTTATGTCTATGACGTGACTTAACTAAGAGTTACGTCATATATCATATATTCATATGTTTACATGTTTAATTATAGATAGTTATAATATAATTAGTAGTAGAATACATACTTACAATGTGTTTTTTGCAAAAATAATGGGTTATAATTATTATACTTTATTAAATATCAAAATTTTATCATTATTAATAAATTTTAATGTGTAAAAGTTTAATTGAAATACTTATTGTATTGCAACAGAGTAAATCAATATTGGTTTAAAATAAAGTAGAATTTTCAAAGATAAAAGCTGATCAATTATTTCTAGACAAGAATATGTAATTATTAATCTTCATGATGTAATGTTTGTACTGACTAAATAAGTTTATATGACAAGCATTTAATGATTAATAATAAATCATATTATTATAATGATTCATACTTCAAATAATTATTAAAATAATATATATATATATAAGATAATTTTTTTTTCAGATATAACTTCTATTTCAACTCTGAACCTTTACTTTTTTCTTTAAAAAGTTACATTTCTGCTAATTTTCAAAAAAAAAAAAAAAATGATTAAACCTCAAATCATTGCTGATAGNCTGACTAAATAAGTTTATATGACAAGCATTTAATGATTAATAATAAATCATATTATTATAATGATTCATACTTCAAATAATTATTAAAATAATATTTTTGTTTTCCTAAAAAAATTGAGTTCAGATTTTAATTTTTTTTTAAATCCGAAACTTTTCTTTTTTCTTTAAAAAATTTCAATTTCTGCAAATTTCAAAAAAAAAAAAAAAATGATTAAACCTCAAATCATTGCTGATAGTTATAAGGAAATATTAATCATTTTAAATAATATTATCAAGAATGAAGGCAACATTCCACTTATAGATTATCCTGTTCTTATTGGCTCACGTGCTGCAAAATGGCATATTTATTCTTTTCGTGAACCTAATGATTGGGATTTGATGGCAACTCCTTTACAAACAACTTTATTTATTAATAAAGTTAAAGAATATAATGCTACTTTTAAATATATAAAATTAATTTATTATCCAGGAGGTGGACTAATACTTGCTGGAGAGTATATTGATAAATACACAGCAGATAAAAAACTTATTAGCTTTTATATTGAACTTGTCTCTGAGAAAGTGGATTTCAGAAACATGAAATCCATCTTTGAAGGTAATTCTGAAGATAATATGAAAGTTGATGATATGCAAGATGATGATGAAATCAATAAAATTGAATTTGAAAGGTTTAATGATGTTCACCCAAAAATGAGTGCTCTAATGATTTTAGAATTATGTTGTAATATTGAAGATAAAACAATGCTTCCATTATTGTCAAATTTCTTATGTATTGTCGCTCCATTAAAAATTCTTGAAGCTTTGAAAACATCTCTAATTTATTGTCAAGCAGATTTGCATAAAAATATTTCAGATTTACATTTGTTGAGAGATTATGTAGCCCTGACCCAAACGAAAAAGAAGAATATAGCAGAGGACTTATATAGTCCACAACGTGATGAGTTAATTGAACTTATATTAGAAACTCGTATTAAAGAAACTGAAATTATATACAGTAAACCAGGTGCATATAGTATCAATTTAAATATGTCCAATGATGATTTCTTGGAATATGAAGATAATCTTTTTGTACAAAAATGTATTTCCCATGAGGATTTATATGAACTTGTAAAATATGGTGATCATCCAATTTATCAAGGTTTAAGAGATGGCCAGGTAATTACATTAAGGAAAATAATGATTATGTGTTTTAATTAAAATTTCATTTAAATACTAATTGTTTAATTTAAATAATTATAATATAGTCTAAAGAATTGATAAAAAAATCCCTTTTTGAAAAACTTGACTATCAAACAAAAATTAATTGTATGAAAGAAGTAGTGATGGTTATTGCACTTGAAAGATATCTTATTCCAATGATCTCCAATGATCAAGAAAATTCTTATAAATTGGCACTTTTTAGGTTCTGTGCTAAATTAACTAAAGGCTGGTTTCATCAATTTGCAATTGATAATTATCCTCGACTTTCAAACCTTGATAAAGATTTATTATCAATTGCTCATAATATAATTGAGAAATTTCCTATAAAACAAAAAAAGCCAGATGTAATATTACTTGATCCAGAAACTCAAGCTATTTTTGAGTCTATTCGTCCATATACCAAAACAATTTCTTCCTTTGATGAAATCAGGGATTATGATGAATCAGATAATTCTTACACTGATGTTAAAAGAACTGGAATTAAGATTACTTCTCCTATAAATAGTGATGTATCAATAACAGCTATTATTACAATTATAAATAATGAATATAGAGATGTTTATAATACGTCTAAAACTGATAGATGGACAGCATCTGTTGTAATCTTACCTACTAATGACTTGGAAATCTTAAGGTAGAGTTTATAAATAGATTATATTATATTTTTATGCATTTTATTTATTTATGCTTAACAATTATTTAATTTTAAGTGATGATGATGAAGATGAAGACAGGTATGTGTTCTAATTTATCAAGAATAATTATTTTATTTTTAAAATAATTTGATGCTAATCACAAATCACATTTCAATTTTAATTCAGTGATTCGTTTGACATGGATCATGTGGGTATTTCGTTTAAAGATCCATTGAAAATTCATCCTTATCAAATAAGGTACAGTGGAAAATTTTCAAAACTTAACTCTAAGCATACATTTGTACTTGGAATTAGTTCTGAAGATAATATTTGGGAACCAGTAAACATTGAAGTTAAATCAGCTGATTTTGTTGCTAGTTTACTTGAAATCCCTGATATTACTGGTGATTTATTATTTAAATATGTGTTGGATTATTTGAAACCAACTTTAGATTTTGGGGAGACACCACTTGAAAATTGGATTAATGAATTAAAAAGTAATGGAACTATTTCAATTAAACCAAATCAACATCTTTGGTATTATGCTTGGAATATTCGTATCTCTAAACAACGTTTGACACTGCGCTAAAATCACGTGATTCATCCATCATCGTTATTGAACATCATATGACGCAAAAGTGAGAAAATGTATCGCCACTATGCTTTTTTAATTTACTGTAAAAACAATTTCACTATACATATTTTACTAGTATTGTAAACATATAGCCAAAATGTAGTAATTTAACAATGTTGTAAACACACTTTATTTGCATATATATTTAATAAAGCAAACAATGTTATATATTACATACTACGCTAGCTAACTATTAAATTATTCATTATTAAGTATTGATAATATAATTCTTTATATAAAATGTATAAAAGTATCTGAAAAAAAATTATTTAATAAACATGTTTTGCTAAAGGTAATTTGAAAAAGTCTAAAAAAATGAAACTTTTCCTTAAAACGAAATAATCCCAAGAAAGGGAGCCTTCTACCAAAATTCTACACATTTAAAGACTCCAAAAAACAATCTGTCTAATAACAAGAAGTTTTGAAGAAGCTGAGATCTAAAAAAAAAAAATAAATTAAACATCAAAAATGTTTCTAATTAAAGAAAACAAAAAAAGTAAGTTTTGCAAAGAAATTTACCATCTCCAATCTCCAGGTACCCAGCCAAAGCCCTTATATAACTACAAAAAAAAATGTATAAAATAAGGATGTTTCCAATACTAAGAAAATGGTAAATTTCATTACGAAACTTACCATTTCAATACCCTATTCCACTATTCGAAATTGTACAGAACCTATAAGTAAAACAAGTAAAATAATTTTCGTGATGAGGGAGCATTTTAAGTTCTTGTATCCACTATTCTGTATCCAGAATCAAAGTCAAATTTTCATTTTGATTCATTATATGCCAATAGTAATACAATTCCTGTCAAAAATAGTTACTACTGAAGTCTCACATGTCAAAAGGTCCGGACATCTGAAAGAGAAGTATTGAAACGTAGAACATAAAAAAAGAAAAGGACATGACTGTTTTTTTTAAAAAAAGATGAAATGTTAGTTAAATGTTTCGTTAAATAAAAATGAAAAAATTTAATTTGAAAAACTTAAAAAGGAAAAAATCTAACCGTTGAAAATTCACACGTGACCTGTCTAAAAACAAAGAAAGAAAATGAAATGATAGTCAACAACTTATCAAAATAAAAAATTTAATTCAAAAGAATTTAAAAAAGTAAAAAGAAACCAACCATTAGAAATTCACATGTCCAAAGGCTGACCATCTAAAAAAAAGAAAATAAAATTTTAGTTAACCGCCAGTTAACGTTTTGTCAAATAAAAAAAATGAAAGAAAAAAATAAAATTTAACTTACCACAAGAAATACAAAAGAACTGCCTAAAAAGAGAAAGAAATGAACTGTTAGGAACCGTTTGTTAAAAGATGGAAGAAATAAATAAAAAACTTTACCAAAATGTCTCCCAAGGTAATTTAAAAGAACCATCTAAAGAAAGGAAAAAAATGAACCATTAGAACCGTTCATTAAAAAAATAAAGATGAAAAAAAAAGAAAAAAAATCTTACCGGAATTCTGATATCCCTTTCTCTACCAATTTCTTCTTCATTGATTTTAAATTCATCATATTTGAAATAATGAATGTACTCATTCTCTAGCTTTTTTTCAATCCATTTTTTTACCGTAGTTATTTTGTCATTTAAGTTATAATAAACTTATTTTTTTTTTAAAAAAAAAATCATTATGAACTCAATTTTCATTGCATAATGCAATGATTTTTGTCTAATAAAGAAAAATATCAAAATGTTGCTAACCGTTCAGTTAAAGATTTTATTAGAGAGAGCGAAACAAGAGGAAGAGAAAAAGACGGGGAAGGGAAGGGTGAGACTGTGAGGAAGGAAAAGGGTTTGTTAAAGTTTAAAAAAACGTGGCTGATCTGTTAAAATTGTCACGTTAATCACGTGATACATAATTTCATATAAATAAGGGCCGAAATTTGATTTTTTTTATAATTTTTTTTAGATATGTATATCCATTAGTGCCTATAGGGGAATATAAAATAATAAAAAAAAAATGGCATTCAGAAATATTTTAAGAAATTATTATTAAATTTTTTTGTTTTACATTAGCTGATACTTAAGTATAAATATCTGCGCATAAAACAATTGATTATTCAGTATAATATAGTATCATCATCGTTACTATGCAATTATAAGCATTGTAGTCGCATAATCAACATCAATATTATGAAATAAAAAAAATAATACTTAAAAAATTTTAATATAAAAAAAAGCCATATTTATGATATAGTCACAATGTATTAAACAACGCAATCACAGTATTGTAGATGTATTGCAATTTCGTATTAACGTACAATACATTGTTACGTTACTAAAATAACAACATGACACTATAGTGAAAGCGATGTCATGAAATCACGGGTTTCAGCAATGCTACATCAGCAAATCCAGTAAGTATTCTCTTAATAATCATTATTATAATTATTTTATTTACATTTTGTTAACATTTTAATACTATGATTACATGATGCACAGTTTGTGCTTAGATGTTCAATTGAGTGAATTGAGTAAGTTACTATTTACATATTTGTAATTTTACTAATATTTCCTTTCTAATTCATCTAATCTATTTTTTTTTTTATAGAATTAAATGAAATTTATCAAGATAGTAAACATAATATTGAATGAGGTTTTCTTTTATGTGAAAGTTAGAGTCAAATAGTTTAAATTACTAGTTTGTATATTGAAGTTAATTTTACTTTTATTTTTCTTTCATTATGCTTTATAGATTATTATCTTTAATTTTTTATTTACGTAGTATATCATAGTATATATATGCAAGTTGCCTTAGTCCTTGGTAGGGCGTTCTAAACTGTTATGTGTGAAACTTGGAATTAAAATTAGAATAAGTGAATAACTGAACATTTATTGTTATAAATAATACTAATAAATAACTATACATTGTATTAAGAAATATCAAATTTTGTATTTATTAAAACTAAAATCCAAATGATCGTGTTATAATCTATTATACTATTTTACTGATATTCTATTAGTGACATATGCTTGTCCAGATGCGAATATGAATTCAACGATACTATAGCATATGGTTATTGTTAATGCTTGAGCTTTAAAAATCATTCTGGTTGTAGATCACCTTTCGAATCGAAATAGATGACGATGGTTTAAAGCATTATAAATGGTAAAACTTAAAAGAGAACTTCCCATGCCAAACACAGATGGTGAATATGTAAAGTTTTATCAAATTAAGTATAAAATTTAATAACAAATATTTATATCCTATATTTGTAACGAAAATATATATCTAATCTTTATATAACATAAAATATTGTGAATTTGAAGATGACAGGCCAGAATTTCCGTAATAGTTTCTATTTTAATAACATTAGCTCCGAAAAAAATAATGCAACTATTAGTTTCGAAGCAAGTGAAATAATAAAAGAATTAGAAAACGACAATATGTCGTGTCAAATTAAGAATTACTAGAATCCATATTCGCTTTCGGTATTTTATTTATTATCTTATAAAAAATCTAAATAATCTAACCGTTAGATATGTACTAGTATTAGTAAGTAATTATCAAGTATAATTTAATTTTCTTATAATATAGGGAAAACTGATTTCAAATTATTATATCATTCAGGTCGGGCCAGAGAGCTGGTTAGATGAATATAGGGAGAACTAGCTAATAGTAATTTTTTTTGGCTGCACCTTACCTCTATATATATAGCTCGGGGTCCTGGAGAACTAGATTATTAGTTATCAATGAAATTAATTATAATGAAGTAATCATATAAATTTTTTTGAATAACGAATAATAATAGATTAATTTGTTATTACATGATGATAATTCGTGATAAGTGTTTATGTAATAGTGTAATAGTTGTGATAATTATGACCAGACCATTATATCAAATTTAATACTATATCTTAAATTATATTTTTCAAGTTCATTTATTTCACTCATATCCGATTGGAGAATAATTTAATATAAGTCAAATTATGATATTATTGAATCGCTATGTTATTGAAAAAAATTCGAACCTTTAAATGATCAGATTAACCATTTGAAAATATCATTGATAATATTATAAACGTATATGAAATCTTAAATAAAATTTTTTTTATTTTAAATTCTATTATTTATTGAAATTATATTAAAACTAAAAGCTTTCTATATTGGGTTAAAACTAATAATAATATTACTACAAAATGGATTTAATATTAGTCAAATTAATTACTAAATAAAATAAAAGTAAAAATAAAAGATATTTTTGTAACTTATTTATTATTATGAAAATTTGTAAAAAGTTAAAGTTATGTTTATTCTCTCAAAAAAATCTTCCTAACTTTTAAAAAATCAATAATGATGAAATCTTGTTATTACTTAAATTTCTTTAAAATATGGTATAAGAAAAAAGAAATCATGCTAAATTTTGTCTAAAGCTTAAATCCTTACATTTTATTTTACAACTTTACTAATTGTCATGTTAAAAACTTTTTATTAGAAAACAAAAAAACAAAAGAAATAGTTTACTGATTATGAAATTATCATCCTAAAATTCGTGGGATTTAGCAAACTCTAACATCTCATCTTAATATTACGATATTTTTAATATACCTCTCATTTGTAATTTTTGCTTGTCCCACCTATTCAAAAAATGCGTGAAAAATCTTTTCTTTGTTCAATTAGTTATTTATTTTATTTATTTTATTTTAACTTTAGAAAGATGGGCCAGAATCTTTTGCTTCGATCAAAATTTAATTCGTCACGTGTAATAGATAAATGTCACGTGTTTGGTACATGGACCGTTTACTCATGACATTTATTGCTTCGGTGCTAGTATATCTTTGTAATAGTTACTTAAGCTGTATTTACTTTGTGCGGTAAAAATGAAATAATGAATTAACATTATTAATCATCATAACTGATTATTTTGTAACATTCTATAGCTTTCTACAAATATCTTGAAAGACCGGTCTTGAAATTTTCTAGGAACTGTGCCTCTAAACTTTTGTGTCGCAGTAGATTCGTTAAGGACTGAAAAGTGGTAAAGTTTGGTTTTAATCCAATCAGCCAATTCAAGATTAGATTAGTTTTCATGATCGAAATCTATTTTTTTCTTTTCTCGGTCTTTGGCTAATTTGGTCTCTGCTAGCTTTAGAAAAAGCAGAATAGAGACCAATTTTTGCCAATCCCGCTGCGACACAAAAATTTTAGATGCCAGATCAGGGATTTTTTCTATAAAGGCCGTACAGGACCGAATAAGACCGAAAGACCGGCTGAACATCTTTAAATCAACCTGACATAATTTTACGACTTATGCATCTATTAATCAATGATGACATGGACGATAATTCATTAGCATTAATACTTCATCACAACCATCATGATCAAGAATGTTTATTATAAATTTAATATATTGAAAGAATATGTGTGTTGGCAAGATTTATCGTAACAAACACGTCTTGTGATATCTACATATAAAATGAGTTATTCTTACAAAAGCTTAATCACTAGCTAATCATTAAATAAAATACACATATCGATATATAATATAAAATACATGTTTAATATGAAAATTATATTCTATCTCTTACTAGTACTTCATTATTGTTTTTTGAGAGATGGTGAAAGAAGTCCTTGAATAACTGGAATTAATTTTAATGCGTTTTCCTATTTTTGATTGATTAAAAAATAATTAATAAAAAAAAAATTATTAACAAAAAACATTCTTTAACATTTAATCAAATAAAAATAATTACCATTATTTTCACAAGAATTAATACTTAATTCTTTAATATTTCGCTTAGTTTTGATTACGTTGGATCCATTACTAATATAAAAATTGTATTTATTTATTAAAAGGCTTTCGTTGTTAAATTTAATAATTTAACCAATATTTTAATTTAAAATACCTTTCGATATCTATGTCAAATTCTATTTCATTTGAAATGTAATCTATAAAAAAGATATTTAATTTAATTATCCAAAGATAATTTTAATAAAATAATATCGTACATACCATTTGATGAAAAATTGATAGATGAACATTTAGAAATGTAAGAATTTAATGATCTACTTATATAAATAGATTTTGGATGAGGTTTTTTGGCAAACTTGGGACCAAGTTTCTTTGATTTAATTAACTTTTTCCTTTTTAATTCAGCATGAGTAAAATTCTTAGCATGATCTTTAATCCATGAATTACAAATATTACAAATTTCGACTATAGAAGGTCTTTTTTCGGGATCAGAATCCCAACAACTTTTCATTAAATTAGTATAACATTCTGGTGTATCTTCTGTAATTTCAGGTCGTGCGCCATCAAGAATATTAAAAATAAGACTATGATCATGTTCAACGTCAGTAAAAGGTTTACAGCCTGTCGTAAGTTCCCACATGATCATACCCAGACTATAAATATCAGATTCTTTAGAAAATGCAGACCCTTTAAATATTTCTGGTGCAATATAAGGTACTACTCCATATATTTCATTATCCGAAGAGGTACCATTTGCATGTCGCGATAATCCTAGATCCCCGATTTTACAAGTTTCGTAATAAGATGGTAAATCTACCAATATATTACCACTATGTAAATCTCGATGTACAAAATTTGTCCGATGAATATTCTGAAGTCTTTTAAAATAAAAACAATTAATAAATCAGTATAATAAATTAATCATTTACTAATATATTTTTAAATTATAAATACCCAAGTGAAATATCATATAAGATTGATATTTTTTGTTCCCAATTAATTTCTGTAAATTTCTTTTGTAAATATTTATGTAAATCTCCTTCCGATGCATATTGCATAACTAACATGTAACCATCCCATTTGGGATCTTTTGTAAAACCAAAAGTTCTAATAATATTATAACTAAAACGATCATAACAATGATGATTCGACCTTAACTATAAATTTCAAGATTAAAATTAAATTGTTTTATAATATTAAAATAATAATAATAATAATAATAATAATAATAATAATAATATGAATTATTAAAAATATTTACCTCATTTAAAAAATATTTGTTAACATATTGAGGGTTTTTAAATCTTTTTAAAATGACAACTCTCGTATCATGCATATCTGCTTCATCATATTTTGAACAATCTAGCAAAGTTGCCTGATATACGATACTAAATCCTCCTTCTGTTATTTCTTTTACATTTGTAAATTGAGAATATGGTATATATTTCATAAATTTTCCTGATCCAATTTTATCACTTAAAGCATTATAACATATTTTATATGGAATGTAATATTTATCAATACATTTTAAGTTGTTAACAACTTTAGATATATTCAATTGATCATGTCTTATATTGAAAAGAAAATCATCTAAAACACTATTCCCACTATAAATATTAGTGAGATCTAAAATAATGGTTGATACTCTCTTGCATTTTTTACATTGAGATTGATTTGTAATTCCAAAAATAATATTTGTCGTTAGACAATATCTACATCCGATAAAAAATATGAAACAATTCTTACAATACTTTTGACAATCTGATGTGACTACTAATTTTTCATTACAATAACAAAAAGGTGTATTTTCCCACCATGGCAAACAAATCATTTCAATAATATTTTTATTAAAGGTCGATTCTATGCGTCCAAGATGAAATAGATAACAATCTGAACATAATTTAAATTCATCTATAATATCATCGTCTATTCCTTTATATAATAATTTTCCACATAGTTTACAACATTTTTCACTTTCGAACACGTTTTTGTATATAAAAGATTTCAATTGCCGATAAATATAAGTATTATATCCAATTATTTGTTTAAAACATAATATTGTCAAGCAATTTCTACAGCATTCTTGAATATTTTTTGGTACTTTCGTTCTATTTATTTCATGCTTACTACATTCTAATTCCTTTGTTAATAAATATACGTCCAAATATAAATTGTTATCGGTTATATTAGTTAAATAACACGATAAACATTTTTTGCAATATTTTTGATCATAAATAATCGTTTGTGTATATTCTTCTCCACAATCAATACAATTTTTATCATCCTTAATAAATGAAACAAAAAAAATCGGTACGGGGCTAGATTTTAATTTTGGAGTTGGGTCAAAAGAACTTTCATCTATTGTATTAACAAGTTTAATAAGTTCCATTTAAGTAAAATAAATAATTTATTATTTTTAACAAAATCAAAAATTAAATTGTATCAATTTAAATATTATGCAAACTTCAGATAAAAAAAATTAGCTGATCACGGTAATTACTGTATCTGGTATGTAATTGTAATTGTCCCCTGATCGCCACCATTTATGGGTAATAAATTACGCCATATTCCGATTTACGGAAGATTAATTTTTAGATCGAAGGTTCTGGTATGTTCTACGAATATCGAGAATTAATATTTTTTAGTAAAGATTTTTTTTTTTATATAACAGATAATAGATTTTTTTATAATTAATTACAAACAAGCACGGATATTAATTTTTAGTAAAATTAAAAAAAAAATAAAATAAAGTAATTCTTTATCTACACAAAAAAATTATTATGCAATATCAATGACTAAAAAACGGTTGTTTAGTTACGTTTTTTTTAAAATCAATAAAAATTATTTTTTTTTAAAATAAAAATTTTTATGTTTAAAATCAAATAATTAGTTAAAAATTATATTATAAAATATTGGTCACCCCGTATATTGCACAGGTATTGCATCATTGCACGTGACCCGCTAATTTACGTCTTTCACAAATAAAAATAAAAAAAAATAATAATATGGAAAAAATTTTGAAAAAGTGTTAATTTTTTGCAACTTCTAATAATGTCAACCATCTATCACAATCATCCTTTTGGATTATGCCCTATAAAAAAATTTTTCTAGTTTTCATTCTGAAGAAAAGTAGGCACATGATCATTTTTCTGAAAAATTTTTATATAATTCATGGAAGTGTTGGAGGTAGTGAAAACACTCCAATATTTTTTAATAAACCTATTAAATATTCAAATAAAAAGTAAAATAATAAATATATTTTAATGATAAATAGTAAATATCACATGGTTTATTTATTAGCCAATTAGAATTGTTTAACTTTTACGTAATTAATGCATAGCGATTTACGGTAAAACCGATTATCGTTTAAAACCAAATATTGATTTAACTGATTAATCATAATTATTTTCGTATTGATGGACTTATTTCTTTGTTACGATGAGTAAATACTAAGGTTATTCTCCCTTAGTATCAAAATACAATGTGTTGCAAAAATAATGAGTTATGTCAAGTGACTAAAATTTTATTTCTATAATATTACTTTATTAAATATCAAAATTTTATCATTATTAATAAATTTTAATGTGTAAAAATTTAATTGAAATACTTATTGCATTGCAACAGGGTAAATCACATTTGGTTTAAAATAAAGTTGAATTTTTAAAGATAAAAGCTGGTCAATTATTTCTGGACAAGAATATATAATTAATCTTCATGATGTAATGTTTGTACTGACTAAATAAAGTTTATATGACAAGTATTTGATGATTAAAAATAAATCATATTATTATAGTAATGATTCATATTTAAAACAATTAATATAATATATATTTATATATAAGATAATTTTTTTTCAGATATAACTTTTTTTTCAACTCTGAACCTTTAATTTTTTATTAAAAAAAAAAAAATGACTAATCCTCAAATCCTTGCTGATAATTATAAGAAAATATTAATCATTTTAAATAATATAATCAAGAATGAAGACAACAATTCACTTATAGATTATCCTGTTCTTATTGGCTCACGCGCTGCAAAATGGCATATTATTTCTTTTCGTGAACCTAATGATTGGGATTTGATGGCAACTCCTTTACAAACAACTTTATTTATTAATAAAGTTAAAGAATCTAATGCTACTTTTAAATATATAAAATTAATTTATTATCCAGGAGGTGGACTAAAACTTGCTGGAAAGTATATTGATCAATATACAGCAGATAAAAAACTTATTAGCTTTGATATTGAACTTGTCTCCGAGAAAGTGGATCTCAGAAACATGAAATCCATCTTTGAATATAATTCTGAAGATAATGAGAAAGTTGATGATATGCAAGATGATAATGAATTCAATTTTGACATTTTTGAAGATAATTATAAAAAATCTAATGCTGAAGATTCTGAAGATAATATGAAAGATGATGATATGCAAGATGACGATATGCAAGATGATGATGAAATCAATGAAATTGAATTTGAAAGGTTTAATGATGTTCACCCAAAAATGAGTGCTCTAATGATTTTAGAATTATGTCGTAATATTGAAGATAAAATAATGCTTCCATTATTGTCAAATTTCTTATGTATTATTGCTCCATTGAAAATTCTTGAAGCTTTGAAAACATCTCAAATTTATTGGCCAGCAGATTTTCATAAAAATATTTCAGATTTACATTTGTTGAGAATTTTATTAGATTATAATAAAGATAAAGTTTCAATAATTCAACCACTATATAGTCCACAACGTGATGAGTTAATTGAACTTATATTAGAAACTCGTATTAAAGAAACTGAAATTATACAAGGTAAATCAGATGCATATATCAACTTAAATATGTCCAATAATGATTTCTTGGAATATGAAGATAATCTTTTTGTACAACAATGTATTTCCCATGAGGATTTATATGAACTTGTAAAATATGGTGATCATCCAATTTATCAAGGTTTAAGGGATGGCCAGGTAATTACATAAAGGAAAATAATGATTATGTATTTTAATTAAAATTTCATTTAAATACTAATTGTTTAATTAAATAATTATAATATAGTCTAAAGCATTGATAAAAAAATCCCTTTTTGAAAAACTTGACTATCAAACAAAAATTAATTGTATAAAAGAAGTAGCAATGGTTATTGCACTTGAAAGATATCTTATTCCAATGATCTCCAAAGATCAAGAAAATTCTTATAAATTGGCACTTGTTAGGATCTGTACTAAATTAACCAAAGGCTGGTTTCATCAATTTGCAATTGATAATTATCCTCGACTTTCAAACCTTGATAAAGATATATTATCAATTGCTCATAATATAATTGAGAAATGAAGATGAAGACAGGTATGTGTTCTAATTTATCAAGAATAATTATATTATTTATTTCTTACTTAGCATTTAACAATTACTTAATTTTTTAAGTGATGAAGACAAAGATGAAGATGACAGGTATGCGTTCTAATTTATCAAGAATAATTATATTATTTTTAAAATAAATTGATGCTAATCACAAATCACATTTATTTCAGTGATTCGTTTGACATTGATAATGTGGATATTTCATTTGAAGATCCATTGGAAATTCATCCTTATCAGAGTCGCAGTGGCAAATTTTCAAAACTTGTCTCTAAGCATACATTTGTACTTGGAATTGGTGCAAGTGCTTCCTGGAACCGCTGGAGTGTTGATGAAGATATTTGGGAACCAATAAATATTAAAGTTAAATCAGCTGATTATGTTGCTAGTTTACTTGAAATCCCTGATATTACTGGTGATTTATTATTTAAATATGTTTTGGATTGTTTGAAACCAACTTTAATATGTGATGGAGATACACCACTTAAACATTGGGTTAATAAGTTGAAAAGTAATGGAACTATTCCAATTGAACCAAATCAACATCCTTGGTATTATGCTTGGAATTATAAATTGAATAGAAAATCTATCAATATATAATATAGAATACATGTTTAATATGAAAATTATTTTCCATCTCTTACTAGTTCCTCATTATTGTTTTTTGAGATGGTGAAAAAAGTCCTTGAATAACTGGAATTAATTTTAATGCGTTTTCTTATTTTTGATTGATTAAATCAATAAAAATTATGTTTAATTACATTTTTTTTTTTAAAATAAAAATTTTAATGTTTAAAATCAAATAATTAGTAAAAATTTATATTCTTGATAAATTAAATAATAAAAGTTATTTATTATGTTTTCTATAAGAACTTTATTCCGTTTTTTTATTCCATGTTATTTCCATAAATGTATCATACTCACGGGATTTAGTCGGAAATTAGTATTTAATTTGGTTGCTTATATGACTTATGATGATTATTTTGGCCCCCCAAAAAAAAGTACAATCGCCGTTGCAATCTTCAAAATAGCAATTCGAATTTCAAATTCGCGCAACATTAAACATCTTTGACCAATCATAATTTAATTTTGATCACGTGACAAAGAACGAAAAATTCTTTAAAAATATAAAAGCAAATAACTACTACATTTCTTCTATTTAAAAATTAAAATCTAGATACTTACAAGATGTTAAAATTAGTTTATTTATCTTATTGATTAAATTTTAATAAAATATTAAAACATCACACTTAATTGGAATAAAAATAAAGTATTTATTTTAAAAGTTAAAGACTTAAAACTTCAGCTCATAAAACTTTAAACTAAAGGAAACTAGAGTACTTACATTTTCTTGTTGTAAAGGAATTAACTATGAACCTTACAAAGAGTTCGAAAGAGATCGTGAAAATTTGTGGAAATTCGTTTAGTAAGAGATAAATTCGAAGGAATAAAACTGCTTTACACTTACAAAACTTAGACTTTAGTAAATCGAGGACTTATATTTTGTAACTGTAAAGAAATTCGCAGTGTTTTTTAAGAAAGTTCGCAAAAATTCGAAAAATTTGAGAATTTTTATTACGACACCACATGATTAAAGGTCGCACCATTTTGAAAACGGCGATCAATTATTTATAAAAATTATCAAAATATTAATGTTATAGAGAAAATAAAATACAATTGTAACAAAATAAAATAATAAAACGGGAAAAAAGAAAATAGGAGGAGGAAAAAAAACGAAAAGTAAAGTAAAATAACATACCATCAATAACGAAGAAATCTTCCTCGGTTAGCGAACGCTAACGTCCGTATCAATCAATAAGCCACATGTTATTTTCACATACTTGTTTATGTACTATACAGTTTCCAGTTTATATATGATTATTAGATATGATATTTGATCATAATAAAACTCATCTAGTTATTTTGAGTATGTTATTTTTTAAAAGTCATCTGAATACTCTATTGATAATATCAAAAAAAAAAATACCTTTCTTGATAAAAGAATAAACTCTGGTGTTGCCTTAAAATAGTATAAAGTAGGGGTAATTTTCCAAATATTTTAAGTTCAAATAACTCTTTCCAAATTTTTTTTTTTACAATTCTTTACTTCTAAAAATTCTGTTACTTTTCTTCTTTTTCTTAAGATGCCTTTATCTCCATTACCTGAAGAGAATTTTAATAATATACTCTCCTTTCTTAATAGAAGTACTTTACATAAATGTCTATTTGTAAATAGATATTTTTGTAAACTTTCTATTCCTATAATTTGGAGAAATCCTTTTGGAAATTCATGTACTAATGGGTTGTTAATAAATACTTTACTAAAGTGTCTTAATGAAGATGAAATTTCTTCATTAATCCCTTACGGAATAAATATTAATCATCAGACTCCTCTATTTGAATATGAAACATTTGTAAGAAAATTTGATCATTGTTATTGTGTAATAAGAATACTAAGTTGGCTTCCTCCTATGGTTGATCAATACTTTATAATTCAAAAGTTGATTGATGTTATATATCATATGCTTATGAGAGCAAGATCAAACATGAAAGAATTTGTCATTTTCCTGGATCATGAAAGCTATAACCTACCAGATATTTCCAATGTTACGACTTATAGTTCAGGAATTGCAAATCTAAAATATTTAGAAGTGGAAATAATGTATGATATAAGATGGCAGAATACTATTAAATTTTTAAGCATATTGTCTAAAGTCTGTAATGGAATTGTTAAGTTTAAATTATGGATACTCCAAACAAATAAAGAAATTATTACACCAATTTTAGATATTATCAAATCACAACCTATTAATAATATGTCTACATAGTAATTGAAATGAGCTTTTCAAATAAGACAGATGGTACCATATTATGCTTTATTCTGTTAAGTATGTATAAAAATTCCTATTAAAATATATAACTGGACTGAATCATAATTTGAATATCAGCCGTTTATTTGTATATTTTTCCAAGTGTCTAAAAAATTCATTGTAAAATTTCAAATCAGACAAATAAATTGTTAGTATCATAATAATTCTAAGGTAGTAAGTTAGTATAACTGTCGAAACTAAAACAATTATTTTATTCCCTAAACTATAGAACCGTAATCAGGATTATTCGTTGAATATATGATATATATTTTCAAAATGGTTGAAATTGATATTGATCATGTAAGATGTTGGCAAAAACACGCAAGGATTTTTTGTGCTAAAAATCTTATTACGTCTGTAAAAATAGTATCACGTGATTTCCAACCATTTCCAACATCACAAAGCCGGATTTGTTGCCAGGTTACACATGATCTGCGCACATGATTCGGACGATTATTTTCGGTAATATTATTTATTGATTAAAAAAATTTTTGTAAAGCGTTCAACTACAAAATTTGTAGCACTCCCGTTGCAGTCTATATGTTAAAATAAAAATAAAAAAAATATTGATTAAAAAAAAGCTATTTTACCTGTGAAAGTATAGTTATACAAATTTATATTAACTAAATTCACGCTACCCTAGAATAAATTTTTATTTAGCAAGAAAATGTTATAAAGTTATTTTTATGCACTTTTAATATTATTATTTAATAAAATAAACTATTAAGATACTACATTTTACTTACTTTCGCTATAATAGATCATGTATTTTATTTGTAATATAATTAATGCTAAATAGTTTGATTACAAGTATGAAATATTATTAAACATTATGCTATGTCAAAAGAAGAGTGTCCTTTTTTCTGATTTAATATGTAAACCCACTTTTTTTCATTAGAAATGGAAATTACCTTCCATTTTTGATCTAAATTGTTTTTTTTTTCTTTTTTCGTAAGAATGAAGTTTTCTTGAAAAAATTCAAAAATGAAAATGGAAATCATTTTCCACTTTTTGATCTAACTCTTTTCGTGAGGATAAATTCACTTCACTTAATTGATAATAAAAATGGAAACTACTAACTCATCTTTTAATGTATTTGGTAAATAAGTTACAATTTTTTATTATACAAGTTTCCTTGGAACTATTTATTGATTATTCATTTCGATACAAAATTTTGTATAATAATTAGATTTCGGAAAAACAAACTTTAATTAGGTTAACATTTTTTAAATATGAATATTAAGTAAAATGATATATTTATTTAAAAAAAAAATTGTCAACGTGAGACGACTGAGACGAGTGAGACGTCAAAATGATCGTACTACATGACGATCTAATACTTAACGAAAAACTTATCTATTTTTGATTGGCTATAATTAATTCTTTTTATTTTTTTAAATTATTTTATTTTTTATTTTTTAAATTAAAATAATCAAATTAATCAAATAAATAGTATATTTAATTAATAAGTATGAAAAATTTGTTACTAAGAAACGTAAGAAACGCTAGAATTTCTATACTATAAAATAATCCGATAGTATTTGATAATTATTTAAATGTTTTTATATTGAAATAAATTAAGTTTAATTCGTTATTTTAATATTATTACAGTATTAATAAATTTATTCATTATTAAAAAATTTTTTAATTAATTAAATCAATTACATAATAATTAAGATTTCTGCTAGTTATTACATTTACATTTAATATTACATTAAAATTAAAACTATCAAAAAAGAAAAATATGTAAATATAAAAAAAAAAATTTCAAAAATTTTTTATTTTATTTTATTTATATTTTATTTTTTTTTTTTTTTGAAAAAAAAATCAATTTTTTTTAAATTTTGAAAAAGTAAAAAAAAAACCAAATTTTATTTATTTGGAATAAAAATTGACGTAGCAAACTTCAAACTAAAAAATCGAATAATAAGAAATCAAATTCCTTTTATATACATATCATTATAAAAAAAAATTCAAAAAATTCTTTCTAATCTAAAAAGGAAAACTATATCGAATATCAAATTGCCTTTTATATATTTACATATATAAAATCAAAAAATCGCCTTTTTTTTTATTTTAAAAATTAAAAACTAATTATTTATTTATAATTATAAACTAATAATAATTATAATAAACTAAAAAGAAAAAGAAATCAATTATATAAAACATAGCTGCTGTATGTTCTTTGTCTTGATATCTAATTAAGTTGAATAGATTCTCTAAAAGGAATTTATAAAATAATTGACTCCGGGATAAGAAGAATCAAATTTCCCTTTATAAATTTGTTTTATTATTACTATTAAAAAAATTAAGTTTTGTCGTAAAAAATTAACTAAACGAAAACTAGTATCACTTCTATTTCTTATTTTAAAATAAAATATCGAAAATCCAAAAATTCAAAATTTAAAAAACCGAAGTACAAATTTATGTGACGTCTTATTGTATTGAAAATTCGTTTCGTAGTAAACTCTCCGCATAATAGAAATTTTTTTTCATTCTTTGATTCTACGTTATTTCGTTATTTGTGAATGAGTATGATTATATAATGCTCTATCGAAGAAATTTATTTACACCAAGAAATTTCTGCGGAACGCCAATGTAAATCTAAGCCTTATATTTGTCATACAATATTCTATTTTTACCTTTTCCCCTTTTTTAGTAAACTTTCTTGTCTATCGTAATACCATCATTATAATAATGATTTTCATTGTTCTATAAATAGCATTTTAATACTCCGAAAAATAAGAAAAAAAAAGTATATATAGAGCGATGGAATTCAAAGAGGTTTTTTCCAACAAGCAATTCATTAAAATAGATAAATAGATTCACATATAAAATCTCATATATTTTTCATCATACATTATAATTACTTTGCATTTTTTTGCATTTTCTTCACATACAAACATAACTTAGAAAGCATAATCATTATAATCATTAGTAATTTTTTTCAATATATAAAAATAGACAAATAGCAAATAGCATCAATAAAATTACTAAAATGTCATTAGATTCTCAATCAAAAATTTTTACAAAATCAAATCTGATCTATATACCATTGTCAATAACAATCGCTCATACATTAAATTTCATCATTAATTCACCTTTATCAACATGGAAAGAATTTCCACCAAAATTACCTAATTCAGTTTATTCTTCAGTATTTTTTACCCCAATATTATTATTTATATCGCTTACATTCGAACCAATTCAAACAAGGAAACGTTTTTACACATTATTATCCTTAGCACTTTTAGTTATTTCAATTCCAATAAGTTACCGTGAAAAAGGTTATCCTACTTCACTTCAAAATAATTTTGTAGCTATTACTATGTTTTTGGGTGTAAAAATGTTATTATTCTTAAAATTTAATAGACTGTATTTAGATCAAAAAAATTTGGATCAAAAGAAAGAATTTAAATCATACATCTCAACATTATTCAATTGGCGTTTTAATTCTTATATAATTCCTCCCGTATCAAAAAATTCAAATGAAAAAGAAAATCCCTTGATTATTAAATCACCCACAACTTCACAAATTAACAAAAAATTAATCAATCGTTCATTAATTTTCATTGCAAAATACTTAATTTTTGAATTTTGTATTTTTACACTTTTAATTTCAGCCAATTACAAAACAGAAATTCCAAAAAAAGCTTATCAAATTCGTTTAATAGAATTTTTTACTAGTGGAATTCCTCCTTTTACAATTTCTTCATTAAGATTATATTTGAATTTCCTTGGAGTAATATATTTATGGCTTTCATTAAATTATGATATTATTACTATCATTGCTGCGATCGTCCTTCGTTTCATCTTTCATTTCACATCAGAGAAAAATGATCGCAAATCTATTTTAATTCAATATGGTATCCTTACTCCTTCTGTTTATGTTTCTATAAAAGAATGGCTTATTACATTCCTATTTAACACTAAACATTTATTTAGTGTACCATTTATTTCATCAAGTCCTCGTGATTTTTGGTCTACTCGTTGGCAATTATTGCTTAATGAAAGTTTTAAAGAATTAGGTTATTTACCTGTTAAAAATTTATTTATACCAATATTTTCAAGGAAAATTTCAAATATTATGGGTGTATTAGGTGCTTTTGGTGTTAGTGCTTTATTACATGAATATATTATAATTGCAAATTTTAATATTTGGACAGGTGAACAATTCTTTTTCTTTATGGCTCATGGTGTAATATTTATCTTATGGGAAGCTATATTTAATAGTAAAAATAAGGATATGATTATTGAAAAATTTTTAAAATGGTTTTTATTATTAATTATTAATTTGATATTACTTCCTGCACTTGTTGAACCTTCAATAAGAAATATTAATTTTTCTGATATTTCAACTATTTCAAAACATTTTCTTAAAGATTATATGTAATTTTTAAAATTATTTTTCTTTTTACAAATATTTGTAATTCATTCCTTTTTTTTTTCTAAAAAAAAAATAAATAAAATTTATTACGGGTTTGATATAAACCGTTAACGTGATATACCTTGAAATTTGATTGGTCAATTTTAATGATAAATTTATGTTTAAAAAAAATCATTTTTCTTATAGATTGAGAATATTTATAATTTTCGAATTTTATTCATCATTGAATTTTTTAATAAGAACATATAAAATAATAATAAAATGAATCCCGATCATGAAAACCCATGATAATGATGGAAAGAATCACAAAAAAAAGATCATCATAAAAAAAAGAAAAGCGTAAAAAAAAGCAAAAAAAATGAAACCTATCTATTGTTCCAAACAATCCTATCTTAAATTATCCTAAAAAGAAAAATAAATAATGTAGTGAAGAAAATAACGTATTTTAATAGACACGTGATAGAGTGGATTGCGTAAACAACGCTCGATTATAAAAAATATCAATAAAATCCAGTGATGTTAAATGACATTGTCATTTGACCAAATTTCAAATGACCTTAAATGACATTGAAATGATATAAGAAATTATGTCATTTAAAAAAAATGTCATTTGCAAATGACAAATGACAAAATGACATATGTCATTTCTAAGTGACAATATCATTTATGATTGTCATTATGATGATTAATCTATTTAGTGGCACATTTCATAATAACTTGTTGATCGAAACTCCAAAAAGCATAACTTAAAATTGATGATATCCAAAAATGGAATGACAAGTGTGTGATATTTATTTAATCTGGAAATTTAACAATTTATTATTATTTGTTTGTTAAATCTAAGATTTATCGATCTTTTTTGTGATTCTCGCGTTTCGTCATTATTTTTCATAACAAATTTCTTATTTCAATATATACGAGTTTGTATAAAATTAAAATGAAAGAAAAGCATAATTTTCGTGAATTTTTTTATTTATGTACACCAGATAATCCTAAAGCAAATAAAAAAGCAGTGTGTTTTTCTTGTATAAGAAAACATACTTTACCTATTGCTATTTCTAAACCTGAATGTTTCGTATCTAATAAAGCATTATTATGCCATAATCATCTGAAAAAATGTGAAAATTTTGCTCATGAATATCATGAGAGTGAAAGAGAAGAAATTTTATCACGTAAAGTACCTGAAGATGAGAAAAAAAATAAAACACAAGCAATAATAAATGAAAGTGAGATGGAAACTGATAAATCTACAACTGCTGCACCATCTAATTCAATTATTAAACAATCAACCTTATCAGGATATGTATCCCGGCCATTTTCTAAGAAAGACATTCCTCATTTTGAAAATCTGGTATTACTAATGATGGTATCAAATGGTTTATCATTTACATTTCTGGAAAATAAAGAAACACAAGAAGTTTTTAGATTTATTGCTCCAGCATTGAAACTTCCAGGACGTCATGCCATCAGTAATCGTATTCTTTCTAAATCTGCAAACCAACTATCTATATCAATTGTAGAGCAGGCAAAAGGTGATGCAATTGGTGTTACTGCAGCTTTTGACGGCTGGACAAATGTTAAACAAGAACATCTTTTTGGGGTTGTACTTATTACTTCATCTGGTAAAACACTAATTTGGGGAGCTAAGGATATTAGTGATCAACGATCTAAAACTGAAGATGTTAAAATGTTAATTAAAAATTTGATGAATAATGCCGAATTGAAACAAATAAAAATCAATTGTTTTGTTTCTGATTCAGCTGGAGAATATGCTGCAGCAAGGTGAGTACAATTTTATATTATATATTTTATGGTATAGAATATTATTAATAAAATCTTAATTTTTTGCTTTTTTAGACGTCAATTAAGAGTAGAATATCCAAGTAAGGTATTTTTACCTTGTATGGCCCATCAGATGAATTTGGTTGTAGGAGATATTTTTAAAGAATCACTTCAATACAAGCAAGTATCAAAAAATGCAGTTCGTATTGTTAGTTATTTTCACTCCTCTCCTTATTTCACTGGATTGTTAAGAAATGAACAAACTTCATGCTATGGTCAAACAATAGCATTGATAACTCCAGGGGAAACACGCTGGAATAGTTACTACTTTTGTTTTCACAGTATTTTAAAAACAGAAGCAGCATTAAAGGTGAGAATTATAATTTTGGCAAGTTGCTCAATAAATCAATAAATAAAATTTTTATACCTGTTTTATTAATTTTTTTAGACTTTAATAACAAAATGCTCTCCTGAACGTATTGGAACTCCAAGTACTTCTCGAGCTGGAGTATCTCGTCAACGTTATAGAACTAATTCAAATAATGAAAACAAATGTCTCCCTTCAGACATAATTGAAATTATTAATGATCCAGAATTTTGGATCCAACTATTTGAACTTCAAAATTTATTATTACCAATATGCAGCGCATTAAATAAATTACAAAAGGATATTGCGCGCCTATATGAAATTGCACACTGCTTTGGTTGGATAATTAAAATATTTTCTTCTCACAAAAACGTAGAATTTGGTAATTGCATGATAGCAAGATTAGAATCACGCTGGGCACAGTGGGAACAGCCATTACTATTACTTTCAATTGTTCTTCATCCAAAATATCGAGTTTCAAAATTTAATTCTTCTGCTAAAAATATTTCTTATACACATTTTGGACAATGGCTTATATATTACTATCAAGCATGGTTTAATGAAACACCAAAAAGAATCCTTCGTGATTATTTATCATATCAACGTGAGCTTTTTCCTTTTAATTCTGAAACTTATAATCAGTTTGAAGAAAATATTATTGATTTCTGGGAATCTGCCAAAGGATTGGCACCTGAACTCTCAAAATTAGCTTTACATCTTTTTGGGATCTGCGTTAATGCAGCTTCAATGGAACGTCTTTGGTCAAATATGGGTTTTTTACATTCAACCCGCAGAAATAAATTAAATGTAAGTGTATTTTACCAAAATTTATATTATGCAAAATCACATTAACAAAAGATTATACATTTTTAATTTTGTAGCATAAGAAAGTTTTGGCTATGGCTCAATTGCGAAGTGATATATTATGTAAAAGAAAACGTGATGATATAGAAATTTCTGAACGACAATATAAACGATTACATATTGCTGAACAAATCCAAGAATACCAATCAGATGAAGAAGACACAAATGATAATGAGTTCACATTTAATGCTTTTAACGATAGTGATACTGAAGAACTAGAAGAAACTTCTGTTATTGATGAATGTAATGTTAATGATACCTTTGAAAAAACTAATAATAGTGATAATATTAATTCTGAACAATGGACTAAAATAATTGAAGATTGGATTAAAATGGTTAATGCAGAAATTAATATAAATAATACAGAAGTTATAGGCGAAGAAACATATGAATTTGAAATAGGTGGACAAAGTATTCATCCAGCAGATAATCCATTGGCTAAATGGAAGTTACTTGATTTGTTTAATGAGACTTTAGAAGCTCCAGTTAATATGTTTTAATAATAAATTGTGAATTTGTGATTAAGTAATTTTTACTTTTATTAAATAATACGCTATAATAAAGATTTATTATATTAAATAATTTTGGCCGGCATTACAGCTCACATGACATAATTTCAAATGACATAATATTGTCATTTACTCACTGAAATGACATAATGATACGTGACATGTCACTAATGTCATTTGTGTCATTTAATATCACTTCACAACACTGGTATGTATATATATATACTCAAAGGAAAACCAAACCAGATTTTAGTGATGGATACTTGTAACTCTTGAAAAAAAATTTCATACTGTGATAATGCTGGAATACAAAATGGTCATAATAGAAATAATATCTTTTTAAAAAAAAAATAATTAAAAACAAAAATAATATGATATTGTTATCAATTTAGGAAATTGTGAATTATGTTGGAAATTCGAACTTAAATCACGCACATGATTTAAAAGCAAATTTCTAAATAATGTCAAAATATTTAAAAAATTTAAGTTTATGATTATATTAAAATGTTATAAAATATTTATTAAAATATTAAAAGACGTATATTATACACAAAAATAAATTTATGAACAAACCTGCACATTACATCAATTTTAAGCCAATTTATTTTTTTTTGATTTTGATAAAAGATTTATACTGATTTATGAATCAAAACATTTTTTTATTTCCAAAAAAAAAAGATTTTTATTTTTTTCATTTTTATGAACCTATTCATTATTTTATTATTTCAAGATATTCTTCCCTATAAGAAATATGTATACGGAAAGGATACGTTTTGTATACATTTTATGTACGTTTCTATAGATTCCGTATACAAATTCCGTATATTTAATAAGCAATTCATTTTTGAACATTTTTTTAAAAAACTAATGTATACGGAAAAAATTAATCATACGGAATGTATACGGAATTTTTAAACTTAATATTTTTAGAAAATAATTTTCACAAAAATCTCGTATCATAACACGAGATCACGTGATTGTTTATTGTTTTGTTATGATACGTTTTTTGTTTTTTNAGACTTTAGAAGCTCCAGTTAATATGTTTTAATAATAAATTGTGAATTTGTGATTAAGTAATTTTTACTTTTATTAAATAATACGCTATAATAAAGATTTATTATATTAAATAATTTTGGCCGGCATTACAGCTCACATGACATAATTTCAAATGACATAATATTGTCATTTACTCACTGAAATGACATAATGATACGTGACATGTCACTAATGTCATTTGTGTCATTTAATATCACTTCACAACACTGATAAAATCCGCAGTAATATATAAATAAAAAAAAAATAAAATTTTCATACAGAAAACTCAATTAGACCGTATCAATAATATTTATCAATTATCATTTAACCAAATTTAATTTCTGCTGGTTTAATATCTTGAAGCCTAGTCAAATTGTCAATTTGTAGATTTTTACATAGGGTAAACATGTTCTTAATTACTAATTTCATCAAGTAGGAATGGGACTGAA